GTTCCTTGTTTTAGCCTCCAGTCCCCTAATCGTCTTTGTTGCTCTTCTCTGCACTCTTTCTAGAGTCTCAACATTTTTACATTGTGGTGACACAAAACTGGATGCAGTATTCCAAGTGTGGCCTTACCAAGGCCTTGTAATGTTGTATTAATACTTCACGTGATCTTCATGTGATATAATATGTTGAAACTCAAACTAACCTAATTAGGCAGACTATGTAAACATGCCTCTACAGAATAATTTCTGAGGATCTTCATTCTTCAGAAGGTGTGATAAAAAGAGCATGGACTTCAAGAACTCCTTTTGTACCACACCTTCCTGCCACATCTGAAATCCAAAACTGCTTTTAATAGCTAAGATGCTTCTAATAATAGGGCTGTTGCATCGTCCTTTTAAAGACTGGAGTCAGTCTAGGGACTTTTGTAGAAGATGAATTTCTGTCGTTTGCTGTTATGGTTATGGTTATGCTGTTATGGTTGCATAATTCAAATGTTAGTTAGTTTGATTGTAGTTCATCCTTGGTTAACACAGATTTTGGGGGAATTACTATAGACAAGCATGTTGTTGCTTGAGAGCTGTTTAATATCCAACGAGGGAAGTGACATAAAGTCACTTGTAATCAACCAGTAAATAAATCAAACTGAAAACCGCCCGGAGGTATAAAACCAGAGACTCGGAGATGAGAATGCAGAATGAGTTTTATTGAAGAAGCAGGAACAAAGCATGAGTGGACAATTATCAAAGGAACAAGCGACGTACAAAGCAAATAAAAGACAAAAAGAAATTACATAATTACAGATCTCCTTTTCTCTTGGCCCAGTGGAAGAAGAAGAGCTTCAAAGAAAGTTCTAGAAGCTCAACTTTTTTAAGATTCTAAGCCCGGACACCCACAGATGGATGCTCATCTTCTTAGTCCATGTCAGATCGTTCCTAAACTTAGACTAATCTTTTTTTCAGAGTGACACAATGACAAGCAGACATCCCCACAATATACCTCATTCTTGTCCCCCTCAAGCCATAAGCCCATAAAGGCCACTGCCCTAAAGAATCAGAGATCACACTTGTTGTGTTGCCTCCAACACAAATGGGCTCACACTGATGAAGAGGAAAGAACCAAGGATGGTCACAATGGAAGCAGGTGACTGGATGACGATCTTGATTGATGGGATCTGATTGATAGTAGAAGAGGTGACACCAGCCAAGGCACCAGATCCATAACCATAACCTAAAGCAAGACCTCTGTAGCCAAGACCCTAACCCTAACCCTAACCCTTCTTTTCTTCATACCTTCACTTAAAACCTGTGAGCGATCAATTTATCTGGGGGATGATTTCACAAGAAGATGTAGTGCTCTTTGCCGTAAGTGGTTGTGGGAATGCTGGGAAAAAAATGCAAGCAATGGGATCAACCTAGAGCAAGCAGAGGAGAATTGGGAAAATGACAGACAGGCCAGAACAGGGCCCGACACACCTTAACCAATCTTCTGAAATGCTTTTGGGTCATGGAGAGTCCGGGTTAACTTAACAGGGGAGGTTGCAGGGGAGAGCGCAGATGCTTCCACGGCGACCAAAACGTCCCAGGCGGCCTCCGAAGCCGCCACCGATGCGTCCAACTCCTCCAATGGCACAGGGTGTGTTGCCTCCAACGGCGACGGGCTCACAGCTGGCGGACAGGATGGGACCAGGGAGAATGACCACAACTGGAGGAGGCTGGATGACCACCTCAGATGCTGGGACCTGGTTGATGGGTTGTGGGTTCACTCCAGCCAGAGTGCCCAGGCTTCGTGAGGTTTCAGCCAAGGCACCAGCTCCGTAGCCGTAGCCCAAACCATAACCAAGACCTCCATAGCCCTGGCCCCAGCCTTGGCCCCAGCCAAGACCCCTGGAACCGGCTGATCCGAAGCCAACAACTGGGGCGGATGCGCAAGATGGCACAGCACAAGCGGGTCCACAGTAAGCCATGGTGTTGAGTTGTGAGGTGAGTCTAATGTAGGAAATAGAGTGACATTGTGAGAATTTTGTTCAGTTAGCCTCTATCACTGTATCCCTTGCTTCTTCCATCAACCAACAGGATAACTTTAATATGACTGGATTTGCTAGAACTGGGAAGAGCCTCTAACTAACCTTCTCAAATTAGGCTTCTTCAATCTAAGAAGCCTTCAAGGTTCAAAATCAAATAATATGCCCCATTGTTTTCACCTTGGATCTGAAGCAGGGGAGAAACCCACATTTCTACATCTCCTGACTCCATCAAACATAAAAATACCTTGTCAATATTAGCCTGTACCATATGCTTTTGTTTAAGGCCAAAGAGTGGGCTTCTTTCTTTGGCCAGCTGATGGCCAAACCTGAAGGAGATCAGGAGAAAGCTCCTCCCATATTTTTCTTTGTCATCTTCTCCAAAACTAAGATTAGATCTCGATTACTCAACTGGTTTCATGTCCTCTGAGTAAGACTTCAAGGTTGTGTCCCAATCTGTCATTCTAGTTAAGCGTTAGGTTAATCGGTGACATTCAAACATTTGTCATTACAACCTGGATTTGCAAGCATGACTTGTCCAATCTATCTCAAAAAGACCTGATTGCTTTCCAGTATCCTATCCTAAAGTCCATTCTCTTTGGATGGTAAGCTAAAAATAGAGAAGGAGAGTGGAAAAACTCAAAAGGAAGCCCTTCTAGTCCTTCAAATAGAAAGCGTGAAGCTGGTCCTGAAAGCAGAAGCATTCAGAAGCATTCTAGCTTACGATAAGGTCAATATCTTAAGAATCTCAGATTCTGGCTTGAAGATCTAACCAGGAACGAATCTATCTGAGTCTTACCTTCTTCGAAGAGAAGTAGTGAAGACAGGAGAGTCAAGCAGAAGCTGGTGGCACAGCAGAGAGCAGAGGGAGCTTTTATATAATTCTGTTGGCGTCCCCAGGAAGTTGGGACTCAAGACATTTCAACTGGCATCCAACCATTTCCTTGGCTGGCATTCAAAATAAAAAAAAAATATTCTTCATTCAGCAGAAATTGTCGCATTGGTACTTTGAGGTACAATCATCATGTCACCACAAATAAGCTACTGAATTCAAGTTTGCCAACTTCACGTCAACCGCTTCTGTTTATCTGAACTTATCTGATCTTGGAGAGGTGCCAAGGTAAGATCAAAGCTGAGTTGTTGATGTCCTCAGTAGCAACTCCATGAAAATGGGAGCATTTCCTTGAATCAGCACAGAAACTCAAAGCTACCTTTGACTTCAAAGTGAAGAGCTTATGACTCTGCAAATATCCCTGAAACATAAGCCATGTTCTCAAGGCCTTGTTGAAAATACCAGTAACCCAACTTTACATTTAACCTTACATTCCATGCGGCCGGCCTGGCGTAGTTTTGATTGTGTTTTGGTAGGGGTTTTTATATGGGGTATTTTAGAGCAGGCTTTTTATTTAATATTTATTGTGATTTTTATTATCGCCTGTTCACCGCCCGGAGTCCCGTAAGGGAGATAGGGCGGTATATAAATTTAAATAATAAATAAATAAATAACCTGAGGCCACCTGCTCCAAGTTGAATCTACTCAGCAGTGATATCTAGAGGGGGGAAGCATCCTGGAGGTTCCATCACCAATGGAATGTCACCTCCAGAGCTTCAGTGTTCAATCTTCTCATGATGGTCTTGTCGCCTCCAGAAGCTCAGAGTTGAAGCTTCTCCATGATAGTCCCCCTTCCGAATATTTGGTTTATTCCAAATGTTTTGACGTAGGCTAGTAAGTTTTCAAAGAACCATGAAAATGTCTGTGGAAACAAAGAAAAGAAAAGAAAAGAAAAAAAAGAAAAGAAAAGAAAAAAAAAGAAAAGATCAAAGGGACAACCACAACTTATGTGGTTGACAAAATGCTAAGTCTTCAACTATTTATTTCTACTTATTAAAGTAATTTGGGGTAAGGAGATGAGGCTGTGCCCAAATATTAATCAATGCCACAGGCAAAAAGGGGCGTCCGTAAGCGAGCGGTGGGGACAGAAAAACAGTATAAAAGAGCTTCTCAGGCCGAGAGCTTCCATCAGCTTCATCTGCTCCTCTTGACTGCTTCTCTAAGAGTCTCTCTGGTGAGTCCCCTGCACTTCAGACGTCTTTCTTAGCTGTTTTTGCTCTTTGTTTCATGAAATGGGGTGGCATGGAAGATTTACAATGTATTCCACTCAGAATCTGATTTGGGAGGGAGGGAGGGAGGGAGGGAGGGAGGGAGGAAGGAAGGAAGGAAGGAAGATAGATTTCAAACAATTCAGTCTCCTCTTAGGAAGAGCCTAGAGAAATGTTTCATCCTAACCTTGAAGCAGCATTCAGAAAACATGTTTGTCTCAGAATGAGTTACAGCTACCTATATTTCATTCAAATAGTAGCAAAAACTTCCAGATTTGTAGAACTGTGGACTACCCATGTAATTGTAATTGTTGTAGCTTCTCCATCTCCAGAGACTTTTGAGAAAAGACTAAACAAAGACTTCTTGATCCTATGATTAACGAGTCGTAATGTCCCAGTTTGGTCACAAGTTATGACTTTTCCAGGTGACTTCCACAAAGCAAAGTCAAAAGGGAAACCTGGATTCTTTTAACAACCAGGGCAAAACAGGTTGTAAAATCAAGTGTGTCTTACTTAACGAACTGCATCACTTGGCAATGGGATCAAAATTTGACAATGAGCATGGATTTAGGACAGTCCTAAGTGTGATCAGTGGAACGACTTGCCTCCAGAAGTTGTGGTGCTCCAACCCTGGAAGGTTTTAAGAAGAGATTGACAATCACTTCTCTGAAATGGTCCAGGGTTTCCTGCCTGAGGAAGGGGTTGGACTAGAAGACCTCCAAGGTCCCTTCCAACTCTGCTATTCTGCATGTTGAGGACCACCTGTCCAGGATAACAGGAAGAGTCTTTCGTTTCTTCTTTCATGCAATTCATGCTGTGTGTGTGAATCATAAAACCCATGGTTGTTCTTCTTCCAACAGCTCTTCCATCCATCCAGCCATGGCTTATTGTGGACCTTCTTGTGCTGTGCCATCTTGCGCATCCGCCCCAGTTGTTGGCTTTGGATCAGCCGGTTCCAGGGGTCTTGGCTGGGGCCAAGGCTGGGGCCAAGGCTATGGAGGTCTTGGTTATGGTTTGGGCTATGGCTACGGAGCTGGTGCCTTGGCTGAAACCTCACGAAGCCTGGGCACTCTGGCTGGAGTGAACCCACAACCCATCAACCAGGTCCCACCATCTGAGCTGACCATCCGGCCTCCTCCAATCGTGGTCACCCTCCCTGGTCCCATCCTGTCCGCCAGCTGTGAGCCCGTCGCCGTTGGAGGCAACACCCCATGTGCCCCTGGAGGTCTCGGACGCATCGGTGGCGGCTACTACGGAGGCCGCCTGGGACGTTTCGGTCGCCGTGGAAGCATCTGCTCTCTCGGTCGCAGAGGTAGCATCTGCACCCTCCCCTGTTAAGATAACCCGGACTCTCCATGACCAAAAACGGATTTGAGAAGATTAGCTAAGGCATGTCTGGGTCCTACATTGGCCTGCATCTAGCTTTCACAAGTCTCTTTCCTGTGTCTCCTAGCCACCTTCAGCAGATAGTATTATACCTTCCGGTGAAGTTAACCCCCTGCTAAATTGATCCAGGAAGGGTTTTGAATGAAGTTATGAAGGAAAGAAGCTCTGCAAATTTTCTAGTGCCTTTTTTCTTGCCAGCCCTCTAAAATTATTTCTCAAACAAGAAATGTTGATTGCTTTGGACCGTTTGGCACGCCTGATGGGCTCTCTCAATGTTCTTTCTTGGCACTTTAATAAAAGTGATTCTGCATTGCAAACTAGTGGCTCTCTTTGGTTGTAATTTGAAGATGGGCAAAGACGTCTGTTGGTGGCCATAGAGGTTTTCTCCATGTAGCCTGGGTGGGAAGGGGTGGGAAGAGAAGGATGGCCAAGGTTCCCCTGCTGATGAATAAGGGGGGTGAGGCAGATCATGGGTTGGGTTTGCCCTTTGCATTCATCCACACAAATATCTTGGTCAAATCTGGTAGAAGGCCTATCACAGTCCTGTCTCTCCTGCCCCTCTATTCTGCCTTGCCTGACACTCCATCTGGAGAATGTTGTACAATTCTGGGCCTCACATTTTGAGAAGGATATTCAATTTTGAGAAGGTTCAGGGTAAAGTGGCAAAGAAGACATGGGGTCTTCTTTGGTATAGGGTTTCCCGCTTGAGCAGGGGGTTGATGTAGACGACCTCCAAGGTCCCTTCCAGCTCTATTCTGATTGATTGATTGATTGGCTTGAGGTCTTGTGAGGACAAAGGAACATGAGATTTTCAATCTGAAGTCAGCAAACATATGGCACTCACCATAGGTCCACCATAGGACCAGGTTCAGGCCCATGAAGGGGATGTACAATCAAGATATTCATGGGTTATCTCCCATGGACCCCAAACCAGAGGAACAAGTAGAAGTTGCCAGATCTAGATGGCCACTCAAGTTTAACTGATCAAATATAGTTATCCAAAGCATGAAGGTCAACGAGTTTGATTCCCTAAAGAGGGTTTGAAGTCCCATAGAACAACATCTCACCTCTGAGAGCTTAAGAGAAGTCGGTCTATAGATCCCATTCTGGCCTGACTTGATTATACAGAACAGACAAATCAAAGTCCCCAAGACAGAAAGAGCTTGTGGAATTCATGGTTACTGAGGACAATAATGACGAACACAGAGTAAAGAGGTTTCACAAGGAATGAGGTCCTATTGCTCGCTGTTCTCCAGGATTGCCAATCAAAGCTGGGAAACATAGAGTTTAGGATGACACTTAACCTCTTCCCTCAGTTTCCTGGAGACCTGCTCTGGCGTTTGCAAGGGGCCCATGTTTCCGAGATCCCTCTTCTCAAACAGGGGTGATCGCTAGATAGAGCCTCTTCGTAGAAAGGCTGTTTAATCCTTGTTCTTTACCCTATACTATACCCCTAC